CTTGCACGAAGAATCCGAACATCGAGGAGTCCCCAGCTTAGCTGGCAACCCTTACATGAAGAATTCGGACACCGAGGAGTCTCTAGCTTAGCTGGTAAACCCTCAGTGTAGCTGATGATGAAGCCCAAACGACGAGCAATCCGACCAGCTGGTCGGTGAAGAAGAAGCACCGAGCAGTCCAACCAACTGGTCGGCGGCGAAGTGAGCGCTGAGTAGAAGTGAGCACCGAACAGTCCAACCAACTAGTCGGTGACGAAGTCCATGAAGCTAGCGGTCCGACCAGTTGATCGGCGGAGAAGTCCGACTACCAGGTGGTGCGACCACCTAGACGATGATCCTTTTGTCCTTCCCGGGTGATCCAGTCTCCGAGCGTGAAAAATAAGCTCGTGGACTGAACCATGCCCCTGCAATACAAATACGTAGAACGAGTACTACATGATGTAAAAATAAAATATATGAACTCGGCGATGAAGGCAGCAAAGTGGAGTGGATAAACATCATATTTGTTTGAAGTGTTCATATTTTAAATATGAGTAATTTTCCCCCAGTTGGTTCTTTATCGCATCACCAGCCCCGACTAGCCCATCTTCCATAGCGTAGAGTGCTTAGCACTCGTTTACGCGTAAGAGCACAGGCGTCGCCGAGGAGCCACTGTCGACCACCCATAACACAGAGGGCTGGCGCTCGTGCACATGTAGGTGTGAGATCGAGAATAGGGCTATCTCTGGATAACACGAATGAGAACGTGGCTGGTCGGCGAGTCGTTTGAGAATATCTTAAAGATATCACGCATGGAGAACAAGTGGAGCATCTTAAAGATGTTGCGCGTGGAGAACAAATGGAGTATCTTAAAGATATTAAACATGGAGATCGATTGGAGAATAATGATTTGAGAGACGCTGAGGAGAAAACTAAGGGTACTTATCTGTAGAACATCTGGTCAGCGGCGTATGACAATATGTGGTCGACGTCGACGAAATTGCCTAGCCCTCGAGCTTTCTAGCCTGTCGTCATGGCGGCGGTCGCGATCGTCATGGCACCGTTCTTCGCGACGATCATCATTGCGACGCGGCAAGCGATCAGACCGAAAAGTCCGGGCGACATCGTCCTTATATTACTGGTCGGCCTTAGGCAAATCAGATTCGGGGAGATCGTAGCCGCATTCAATCTGGTCAGAGAAGCGATGTTGCATGATGCTTTGATAGACGGCCGAGCGGAGTAGTCAGCGTAGCTAGCTGATAGTTGAGTGGAGCATGAAAAAAAGACATTTCACACATTCTCTCTTGGCGTCCCTTCTCTCATAGGCTTTATCGTTTCCTCTCTCAATATGAAGTAGTCTAGCTATATTTGCTTGTCGCTAACGTACATGTAAGCCTCAACTAGCTAAGGGTCTATTTAGATTCTCTGGTCTAAGCTTTAGTTATATAAAGTTGAGTACTGAAACTTTCTACCACTTTATATCACCTATGTGGTCTAAAGTTTTTGTAAGATAGTCTAAACTTTAGACAACACTTTAAAATTCCTTTTGGAAGCCTTAATAGCTAGAGTGGTCTAAAATTTAGTGGCTAAAGTTTAGTCCGATCCAGACAAAGCCTAAGTAGCTAGCCATTAGACACGCCCTTGTGCCATATGCTATCTCCCCACCACCAAAGTCGAAGTGTCCTCCATCTCTAACATTTCTTCTAAGCTCAAAGATGGACAATATAATTAGGGAAGAACCAGGCGTTCACACTTAATAGACTGAACGTGATGTGCTTTCAAAGTATCAACCAGGGATTTGGCCGTTTGGGGAAAATGGCAAAAAATCTCGGACCTGATTAAAATGCTTGAACGTAGGAAATTTCAGACCAGGGTTCACTTATCATGACCGTCAAAATGTTCAAGTTTAGCTAATATTGACTAAAATTTGACCAAAATTGGATCGAAAACCACGAAGAGGAAACAAATGGATGATAGTTTGATAAGTTTGTACTTTTTTATATATATTGAATTGAAGAGAGAGCTGGTGGGTTTGTTTGAACTCTAGACTAAACTAAAAATTTAATTAGCCTATTTTTTTGACCGGTACGATGTTGGGACCTCACCAAGATGGATCAATTTCATGAAAATCCGGTTGGTTTGGACCAAATCCTTGAAGCATGGTTTTAGCTAGTATGTGAAAATAAAATTTACCAACTTTTTAGCTTGGACATAAATTAAAACTGGTTTCTAACACATTAGGCTTTGATGTTCGGTTAATCTCCTATCCGAAGAGACCGGAGGGGATTGAAGGAAATTTTATTCTCTATCTACGAGTCAAAATCTCTTCTAAAGTTCCAAACAATCCCTGGCCTTCAACCCCTTCAATCCTCTCGGATTAGAGATTAAACCGAACGAAGCTTTAGACCGAATTATCCCCTCTTCAGGCCTCAGTATTGTAGCACCGGATATACATGGCCAGTACAGATGACACACACGAGGACCATGTTCGCTTGAATTTATCAGCCATACCATTTCAGCGAAATAACAGTATTTTTCTTTCATAACAAATCAGTATCAGTATCAGTCATTTTTCTAGCCAGCCAAACATAGACCTCGTTTAGATTGCAATTTTTGCAACCTGAATACTGTAGCACGTTTCGTTTGTATTTGGCAAACTTTGTCCGATCATGGACTAACTAGGCTCAAAAGATCCATCTCGTGATTTACAACTAAACTGTGTAATTAGTTATTTTTTTACCTACATTTAATGCTCCATGCATGCGTTCAAAAATTGATGTGATTGAGAGAGAGTGAAAAAACTTGAAATTTGGAGGTGATCTAAACAAGGCCAAAGCCGAGTATGCAGTAGACTAGTGGTAGGACATGACAAATGACAAAGCATGCCAGCAAACCAACCCTGTCCCCCTATCCGTTCCGCACAAATATTCGGACGCCAGCGCAACAAGACAAGCGCGGCCCTGTCTCCGCCGAGCCAGAGGTGAAAACCCCACCAGGCCACCACACCGGCGTCCTGGTCCAGCGGCACCACGATCTCGGGCCTCCTCGTGACTCGTGAGAGCAATCGCCTACGCTGCGGGCATCTCTCCAAGCGGAGGTAGCGGGGGAGTGCGGCGGGCAGCGCATGCATGCACGCGGACGCCGTTCCCTCTCGCTTCGTTCTCACCCCGCTCCCTCTGCGCCGCGCAGCTGGCAGAGGTGTGCGTGCCAGCAGGCCAGAGCCCCGCCGGCCGTACTCGCTAGTCCTAGCGAGGGAGGCATGGCAGCATCAGTAAGGGCCTGTTTAGCTCTAAGGGACTACTGAAAAGTTAAGATTTTCCGTCGCATCAAATTTCAGTACGTAAGGCTTAAATGGATGGCAGCGGTTTGGTTTCTTTCTGAGACGGCGAAGGCTAATTTAGTGAACGTTTGAACAATTATTACCAAATACAAACGAAACGCTACAGTAGCTACAGTAACTATGACGGCGCCGATTCCGCGCCGAACTAAACGAGGGCTAAGGCAGGTGGCAGCTCGCGGCAAGGTTGCGCGGCCGGGCCACTGTGGGTGGGTGGCTCGGTATGAGCACACGTACCCGGTACCTCGTCGTCGTAGCGCCTGCCGCCTGACGCCTGCGCGTAGCCCGGCCGGCCCCAATAATTGGCCCGTCCACTACGCCGGCCGGGCCGAGTCCTTTTGACTGGGCGCGCTCGCGCGCGGCGCGGCACTCGGCAGCCAGGCAGTCGAGGCGCGCGTGCGGGGCCACGGCAGCGCGAAGCGGACGAGGACGATCGAAGGGGCGGGCGACTGGCGACTGGCGACTGGCGACTGGCGACTGGCGACCGGCGACCGGGGGTGCAGTGCAGGCGGCACGCACGTACTGGCGCCGTGGCACGGTTTAATCCGTGGCACCAGCACGGTCGTTGACGCGGGCGCCCACTTTTGGGGCACGCGGCGGTGGACGACGCACGGGAGTGGTACTGGCCGGGGCGCCGGGCCGCGGAAAATCCAAGGGGCGCTGCCGCTGCGGGGTCTCCGGCCGGGGCCGGCCGGCCTGGATTCTCGCTCGTGCCGCTTTGCTCGCCTCGTTTATGGTTAAACCAAGATGCCTCGTTCGCTCGGCGGACCACCTGCTACTCTACAACAAACAACACGTTTCCATGTAATAACTGCTAGGTCTTGGCGATGTTTTCCGGATTTCTTTTGGTTCCGTTGTTCGACTGCACTGTACGTGTAGTAGTAGTACGTAGTACACTAGTAGTACTTGAGCTGAAGCTGACAATCGAATGATCTTTCGTTCATCTTTGCTATTTTTTCTCCTTCTTTATTATTAATTTCTCTTTGATAATATATATATGGCGTTGGCCTCGCACTACTCCCTCACCCCATGTCCTTCTCTATCTTCACATTGCGGGGCCATTCTTAAGTCCTACCACAGGATGTATGATCGCTTTCCATTCCATCACCTTGCTAACGTACCCCGGCCTTTTCCGTTGTCACCGTACCTTACCACCCACCTCTTGGAACTCCATCAATCCATCGTTCTAGGCGATCACCTCACTAGCATAGTTGGACGACGTTGCCCCTTTGATGACCACACTACAAGGCAAAAGGCACCTCTCCAAACCGTACGCAAACCTCTCAAACCATAACCCAGTACTTTGTCAATTGTAGAAACCATTGTTTACCATGGACAAATCCCCAGCGTAGGCGCTGGGGGGCTCAAGCCAGCCACATTAGTAGTACCCACAGTTAACATTGTACAAGCTAGGTGGGTCATTTGCTGCCATGACGAAGAGGTTTTGTACATCAAATATGTAGTGTAGTAGTGCATTGCTTCGTGCTATGGCTTAATTAATCACGAGAGGTACACACAACAGCTTGACTAGTTAGGAGATGCTACAGGATCCACATATTGCATTGCATGCAGGAAAGAAAATCTAAGAGCAGAAAACAAGCAACAGACTACTTGAAATCAAGATAACAACAAAACTAAAAAGCATACATACATAGATGCAAACACAATTCAAGAATACAACAGTCTAGGTCGTCCTTTTCCTTTTGACGCCAGCGGCAGCTCCCTTCTCTTCGTCTTCGTCTTCGTCTCCTCCGGGGCCGGGGGTAGTACTAGTACCATCGTCCTCGTCGGCTGCCAGCCGCGCCATGGTAAGCTTATCCAGCAGCTCTGCGGCGGTGTCAGCGAGGACGAAGATGTTCCGTGCCTTGGGGTCGATGAAACCCTCCTCGACACCCTTGTCGAACAGCGAGAGCAGGCTGTTGTAGTAGCCGTCCACGTTGAGCAACCCCACCTGAAGATGATGATACAAATAAAGCACCGCCGGCCGGCGGCGAGCGACCGCGCAGCGTTGATTAATTAGTTCATTAATTCGTTGGCTGCTTTTAACCATATCATCCCCCTTTCGCGTCAGCAACGAGAGGAGATAGTACTAGCAATAAACCTAGCTACTCCATTATTAGGCAATAGGCATGACGCTTGATTATAGATAATGCTGGCAGCGACATTATAGAATGCAAAAAATGAACAATGGCAGTTAAATACGACAAGATTACCGGTTTGCTGTGGATCCCCAGCTGCGCCCACGCTATGATCTCCAGCAGTTCTTCGATTGTCCCGTAACCGCCTGCGTGCCGCGTGCGCATGTTAGGTAGACAACTAGATATAGCTCAGATCATTCGGCTCTTGACTTCTTGAGAGCTAGCTGTCCACTACAACGAGTACGACCCTAGATATACATTACTAGGGAGTAGCTAACGAAGGCGATAGCTGTTGTTTTAGGAGCAAGAAGCCCAGAAATCCAGGATAATACTGGTATTAGCTAGAGCTAATCTTTGACTGACCTGGCAGGGCGATGAAAGCATCGGCATGTTTCGCCATTTCCGCCTTGCGCTCATGCATGTCCCTGACCACTTTCACCTCTCCCAATGTCTCCCCTGACACCTACAGGTCCACACGTTTCATTCATGCGCACACACTGAAACCTGTGGTTTCCTAGCTCGTGGTTGGCTGTTGGGAAAGACGCGAAAGGTGACAGGCCGGAATGGAGATTTGGCATTACCTCTTCAGGTAGGAGGGCGGTGGGGATGACCCTGCAAGAACATGAGCAATAAAGGGGTAAGTTTCCAAATGCAGGAGGGACGAGCGAGGGAGACGAACTGATTGAGTATGCTGCTGTGCTGTGCATTACTACTGAAAAAGAGATCGAGTGCTTGCATATGGGGGGTCCGGGAGCTACGCTACGGCGGCGTCGTGTATTACCCGAGGACGTGGCGGCTGCCTTCGTAGACGGCCTTGGACACCAGGCCCATCAGGCCGCCGCTGCCGCCACCGTAGACCAGGTTGATCTGCCTTTCGACCTGCATGCACAAGTAGCAGCAATCAAACAAGCATCGCAATACGTTCGCAAGATCTAGCTATCTAGCATATTGTTTCCTAGAAGGACACTGACGAAGTAGTAGTTAGCTGACTTGCTCACCAGTTGTTTTCCAAGGTCGAGCGCGGCAGCGCTGAAGGACGGCCGGTTCCCCGGCCTGCTGCCGCAGAAGACGCAGATCGTTCGCACCGCGCCGCCGCCGCCGTTGCTCTCCGGAGCAAGCTTCTCTTGATTCTCCTCCATAATCACGAACCACGGGAGAGGAGGAGAGGATGAGGCACGGACACGCCCACCCACGAGAGAGAGAGAGAGAGAGAGAGAGAGGGTGAGTGGATATTCCCTTACGAGGTCCCTGGATGGTCGATGGCTCGGTGCCTATTTATGCACGTGAAGAAATAGATCGCTTTGCATGCAGTTCAATAATTACATACCCTCTAGAAAGAGTGCATATAAAATATTTTTAATTAAATTTATATAGAACAATTATGTTTTAAGAGATAAATCTAATGATACTTATTTATTATGAAAACTACCATTTTAAAAAATATTTTAGCATTGCTGAAGTGCACTTTTCTATGGGATGGAGGGAGTAAAGAGTAGAAGGTAAGAGCAATTCTATTTTTTTTCGAAGGATGACAAAAAAAAAGCTTTTCCATTTTTTATTAAAGCAAGTGTCAGCTTAGTTTTTTGAGTGAAAACCGGGCCACAAAACCACACAACCAGGAAGAATGCACCACTCATTCCAAACAACTTCAACGACTTCAGTACAATGACCCACAATCTCACACCGAGCCAACTTGGTTAAAAAACGACCTAACTACCGAGACCTAGCTAACAACTAAAAACAACTCAAGGCACCACGACTCTAAAACCAACTAGCCATAGCGATCAACCTAGAGCAACTTGGAGCACCACCAACCACCATGGCTAGACAGCAAGAAGCGGAACGCGGAGTGGAGCTAGAAAAAACCTCGCGACGCCTTTATGAAGGAAACTAGGACAAAGATGCTAACATCGCGGTCCCACTATGGGAAGATCTTCACCCACAAATCCCAGCCTGGGCAGGATAAGAGGTACGAAGAGAACGCCTCCAAGGAGGAAGCGACATCAGCATACGTCATCGTCCAGGCTTTTGCCTTGATCTCTCACCTCCACCCACTGCGGCCCGCCATTGCCCACCATAGAAGGGGACTGTCCGTAGAGGCACATGTGTCTACTGCGCCGACACCTGATGCCACACCAAAGCGGGCCACCTAAGACATTTGCCTCTGAAAATGAGGACCATTTTTAAAGACGGATATCTTAAGTGATCTGCCTCTGTTAATACATCTTAGGAGGCAATACTTTATTGAGTGACTTTGACCATTTTTTAAAATCACTGACAATTTTCGGAGACACGGATAATCTTTAACCGTCTCTATAAATATAATTGGCTATCTCCTAAAATTATTTTTTAGTAGTGAACGTCGAGTGTGTGATCTTGTTCTCCCTCTTGCTAGACCTATAGTGGTCTCCGCTACCTCGTCAAGCTAAGGTACTGTCTCACCACAACAACCTGATGGGAGCTGCCCTGAGCTAATCAGGTGAGAGACCCTACCATGTCCACAACACCTTCTCGTTGCCATCTTCCCTACCACCTAAGGATACTTTTCAAAGAAACAATTGTCGTTCTTATCATAATCCTATCCACTAGCTATTCACCACCGCCTCGATCCGAACCACCTTATTACCTCGCCGCCCTGGCGCTCATTATCACTACTAGTTGAACTTGTCTTGCCTGTGGCCTTTGCTCCATGGCTATCAGTTCTCCTGCAAAGACACTAAATCCTAAACCCCGAGCCTTGACAAAACTGAAGAAGATGAACTCAGGCAATTATCATAGTATAGATCCCATGCAGTGTTAGTTTGTCTTCAGAGCACTCGAGTCATGGTTAGCTTATCAAGTATCAACATTAGTGATGACATTGTTAGGCTTTTAGTGTTACACCAAATGCCCTCCAAAACTTTAGCTACCATAGATTGTTGGAGGCAAGAATATGAGCCTATTCGCTTGCTCGTAAACGATCGTAAATTTCCAGCCGGGAACAGTGTTTTTCTCTCACACCAAACCAGCCTAGCAGTAAATAATCCACGATACGATACGGCCTCCCGAACAGGCTGATGATAGGTTGGGTTGCTTGATATCCAACTCTGAGAGGATGTGAGAGCAGCTCTACCAGATTTATATTATACTACAGTCTTAAGTTGTTTTAGTAGAGTACCCTAGAGCTATTTTAGCATATACATAGAGAGAGGAAGAACACTGCTGCAGCAGATACCTAATTTTTTTTTCTCCTATTAGCTAGATTCTTCCGGACCCAGCATAACAAATAATTGAACAGAGAAAGATTCTATAGGTGTACTATAATCTCAGGAGCTAGAAAGTTTGATATGAAGTGGTGGATCTTAGTGGGGCTGGTTGTTGCAGCCGACGGGTCTCTTTCTCGCAGAACTAGACCAATGCAATACACCAGTCTTGTAAACAAATCAACAAGTTATTTATAGGAGGCACAACTGATGTTCCAAGACAACTCAACAAACTTGACCATCCCCATATAACTCAATAATCGATCGTCAGTCGGCTGAAAATTCTGAAAAACGAAATCAATTTTATATGGATCATATACATGCTTTAATGCTTGTGCATAAGAGGGTGCTCTGTTCATCAAAATAACCCATCGATCGGTCCCATTTGGGGCACTACCGCCATGCTACGGAGCCATCAATTAAATCCGAATCAGTCAGAGACCACGTCGTGCATTAATCGGTCCAACAGCAACCACCCAGATGATACGGCCGAATCAGTACCCACCTTTTCAGCGAGCCAAACGGTTGTACTACCAGTAATCGCTGTAAGAAATTACTAACCGCGTGCTGCTATGATGCATAGTGGAGCTGACTCTCTGCAGGCAATGTTACAGAAGGACCGTGCCAGTTCTGAAATGAAATAACTAATCACTGCGATAGTGTTAATCATCAGTGCCCGTGGAATAATTTCTCTTTTAACCACCGTGTCAGGGCAGTAACCAAAGTCCTACTTTTACTTTTGGTCTGTGATGATCTCCTTTTAGACCTCCTTTAGAACAAAGGATTCATGGAAGAATTTTGTAAGATTCTAATATCTATAGAAAATTTTCCTATGTGGCCTTTTGGAACAAAGGGTTAGCCATTTTCTTACATAAGCTCGTAGCTAAGTTATGTTTTGTTAGTATCACCTCTTTTTATTCAAGTTTATATAGAAGAGTGTCAATATTTGTAATTTTAAATAGATATATCTTAAAAACATATTATACTAAATATAATGATATTTGTTTGGTAGGTTGAATAAATTTGGTTTAAACTTAGACTTATTATTAGGCAAAACTCAAAAGGCACTCTTTTTTACAAAACAGTTCGAGACTAGCTACTCAAGTTCAATGGCAATTGGCAAACAACCGAAGTGGGTTCCTTTTTCTCCTTATATCATCCGAGAAACGCTTCGCATTGGTTATTAGCATGTTACCCATTAACTGGTACGATGTTTGCCACATCTCGTAGCAGCTACCTCTGCACCAAGCAAGCAACAATGAGCATCCATATGCTAGATTATATTAGGGTATTCTCGAACAACATATCCATTTGACTCACAGGGCGGCTAATTGTTGACTTGCTATACTTACGCGCAACTAACCTACGCGGTGCGCCGCCCGCTAATTGCAGACAGTGAGGGCCTAACTTTGCATGGCTGTTAAGTTGTCAGATGTCTTTACATGGGATTATCAAAGGTCCAATCGTTGACTCCGCACAGCTACACCACCGACCCAGGACCGCTGAACGCGGGTGGTTACCGACTATAATCATATTTTGATATTCACTCATACTTGATACCATTCTTTAGTGATATGTTTCTCTACCTGATCCTTGAATGAATACGCAGTACAATGTTTACTTGCTTGAATTTGCTCCAACTGCTGGACCTTCCAAGATTAGCAACTTGATCATTAAGACCATCGTTTTTTTTACAACAATTAAGACCATCGTTGGTGAAGGACCAAAACAGTGACTAGAGGAGTGATAAATGAGAACCAATTAAAATTCTTCTCTAATAACTTGGCCTACGCCCCAAACTTTTTCAAAACACTTATCTCTTCTTAGCAAACTCAAGTCCACATAGCCATAACAAACTATTGGTCTTTGTTAGAAAGCCAAAAGGTTAAGTGGAAGCAAGAACACAACTCAAATAAATACCTCGGAGCCTCAAGAAGATCCTAGCAGCCATAGAAGTTTAGCAGTTGCGCGTGGAACTTCAGCACCAAGGAAGTTCCGCAACCACGCAGGAAAGTTCCGCGAGCAGGCCATACCAAGAAAGAAAATTCCAAAACTCGATCAAATGAAGTGTAAATGACACAATTTTGTATGCTTCTTCCCTAGAACATAGTGACGGTATCCCATAAGAGATCTTGACCAAAAGCTCAAAGCTGGCCGAGAAATTTGAATTTTAGCTCTCAAATTGGGATTTTCACCATTTTCTTGAGATGAAGAAATTGAGGGTGCTCGTGGAGGCAAAAGCCTAAGCATGTTCCCAAGACATCATGTCACCTAAGAACAACCAAAGAACACCTCAAAATCTTTAGCTCAAAGATTTCCAAGAAATTCACCAAAAGAGACTAGAAACAAGAGGTTTAGAACTAGAGAAATAGGTGTTGGGCTTCAAGACATGTTTTGGTCAAGTTCCAAGGGTCCCGGAACACTCCAAAGCTGAGCCAAATAACCAACCAACACAGCAAAAGAAATTCACCAAAAAAATGCCTACTAAAATCAACGGAAAAGAGAAAAAAGATGGAGAGAATATATGACCTCGACATTTTCAGTAAACCTTCAATTGATTAACTATGAATTCATCTATACAAAATAAGGTTGGTCATCACCCTTCCTCCAGAGATGGAAATTAGAGGAGGGTTTCACTTTTTCTACTTCTAATCTCACTTTTCTCTCAAAGCACAAGCTAACCTAAGAAGATGAAAACTAGGGCTGCAAGGAATGCCTCTACCGTTAGCCATACTGGATAGTGGATACACACACCCGCATACTAGTACTGGATAGTGGATACACACCCCCATAGGGCAAAACCGTCAAAATATTTCCTCGCGCATCCGATGGTCCTGATGTCTCCACGGCATTGCTTCGTCTCAACGGAAGCTTCGTGTTGCCACCACTCCACGGTTTTGAGACCTAAACCGGCAAATTAACCTACCACCTGTGGTTTTGAGGCTGAAACTACCAAACCTATGTGGAGTAGCGTAGCCACTACGTCTTCTCCACGCTGTGGACATGTGTCCCGCTCGTCCTTGATCGGCCAATCACCAAGTGCTTGCGCACTCGCCTTAACATGGTCTAATCTCCGTCTTGACTTTGATCAACATCGTCTTCATTGTCATTCTCGTATGTACACTTGCTTGTTGACGTGTCCAAGTGCTAACCATCCATGATCGATCCATCCTCTGGCCCTTGATCCCTTGGAACCTTCGTGTTCACCCTTCACCGCTCCGGTCCATCGCAAAACAGACTCCTTTCTTGACCTGCTCTATTATCGTTGACCATCTCATACTCAACATAGTGTTATGAATTGAGTCAACACTTGCACATCCACAAGCCAAGAGGCATGTTGCGCATGCAACTCATGCCTCGGTTAGTCCCACACATACTTAACTAAAGCTCTTATTATCTCATTGACAATCACTCGTCACTCACAACATGAGCACGTATGAACCATGTGTTCGCAGATTACTATGCTTGAAGCAGGATGTACCAAGTGCACTTTTAACTATGATCCTAAAGCGATATTTCTATTTTGAGCATATGGTCAAATGATTCAAAGCCTCTCTTAATTTGAGCTGGCTCCAAATTTTTGCACCCAACTATATGTGCAAGTCCATCTTGATTATTGCAAAGTCATGTGCAAGCATAAGAAGAAATACTCTTGTGATGACTATTCGTTTTAGAGGAAGAAAAAGTGGGTGAGGTTCAAGTTACCACCGAAAACAAATCAAAATGAGTTATAAATTGGATTGATGACCTTTTGATTTAATTAATGAGGGGTAAAAGGAAAGAATGAAATATTTTGTGTTCTCAATAGTTACACATGTATGTCGCAAATACTTGTCTATTAGTACCAGACAAAAGGGACTTACTAGCGTCAGAACGTCTAGAGCAGATCAACGCGTTCGGACGCCCTACGCATGCTGCTGCCCCAGCCCACCAGTCTGTGCCTGCCGCTACGCCACCTGCGCGTCCGCCCCTGTCTGCCTCATTCCACCCCACACACGTACCCCACTCCGGTCTGCCTCGTCCCGCCGCGCACGCGCACCCCGGCTACGCCCGCCACTCCTCCCCCTGACCCTCTCCTCTCTCGACGCAGGCAAGACTCGGGAGCCAGAATGAGGACGAGCACGCCTCGTCCACAGGATCCCAGGCGCGTCGTGCGCCCCATCTGCTAGCCCCCGGCTAGCTGCGCCCATTCCCCAAGCGCTCGGGCCGTGCCCCCATGCCCCCATGACTCTCTGAACATACCCCTGAAACACGAAACACTTGCAACATGAAATACTAGAATACAACATAAGTCTGAAGCAGATAAAATATTTAGAACACACACTTGCAATATATGTGTGAAACATATGCAACATCTAGATAAAACACTTGCAACGTGAAAATACTTACTGCAACATAAGAATGAAACAACTGAAATATTTGGAACATACTCTTGCAACATATGTGTGAAACATATGCAACATCCAGATCAAAACGCTTGCAACATACGTTTGAAACAGATAAAACACTTTGAACAACTGCTTGCAACATGCCTCTGAAACACTTGAAGCATATGCAACACCCTGATCTACTTTTGCAACATCCATATGAAACACTTGCAACATACGTCTGAACATATGGAATACTTGAAACATACGTTTGCAACATGCGCTTTCAGCGCAACATCTCCTTGCTGCTTGGGAATGGAGGCTCGTTGGCGCATAGAGTTCACCAGTGTAGAGCTCGCTGCTCCGGTAGAGAAGGCCACGACAGGTCCCGTGGAGAAGGCTGTGGCGGGTCCGTGCGCTGAAGAAGCCCGCGGCTGACAGGAGGCGCGGTGGAGAGGGAGGAAGGCAGGCTGCCGAGCTCTGGCGTGGAGGAGATGTCGGTTGGCGGAGTGGAGGCGCGATGGAGAGAGAGTCACGGTGGAGAGCGCTGTCGCCAAGGCGGCGCAACGGAGCGCGGGCGCGGAGAGCTGTGCGCTGTTGTGAGGTAAGTTTTTTTCTTTTCTTTTTTTAGAACGGTTTGGGGACAAGTGGATGAGCAGATAATATACAATTGTTGGAATGTATCGTGGCCCGTCTGGACGGACGAACGGACGACCTATACATAGCATTAGAAAAAAAAATCAATCAAGATGTATAGGCCCGCTGCCGCTAGTACAGCAGTATCAGCCACCGCGCTTTCTTTGGGCCCGAGGTCGCTGAAAGCATATTGATGCTGTGGGCCTCCCACGCCACCCACAGGACGAACTGACTGATCAGGCGCACTACACCACGGCCTGACTGGCTGATGGGCGATGGTCATGTACGTATAGGGGTGGAAAAAAAATTTATGCGTTCGTGACGTACAGGGCGCCGGTGCAGCACCGCTCGCCTGCCCTTGATTTTTTTTTGGTACGTTCCTGATCCTTCCGTGCCTGGGCCTTCGTGGAGTCGACAACACACATGGCCCATCAGTCCTGATTTTACGCGCAACCCAGCCCAGTCGACGAAAGAATCAAAGGCGTTGAGCGGTGCTGCACCGGTGCCGCTGTGCGTCACGAGCGCATAAAAAAAATTTTGGGGTTAATACGACGAAACTGACGAAAGGGATGCACGTACAGCGGTACAGGAGTCGACCAAGGAATAGCCCTCATCGAAACACATGAATTTCACGACAACTTTGTAGGAGTTTCATATGAATTCGTGCGGTTCAATCAGAGTCACAACTGGGTCGCAGGAAGCTTGCACGATTTTGTGTCGATTCCCGCATATAAAAATATAAAATTACCGCGTTCCGTGAACAAAGATCGGCACCAAGGCACCAAAAGATATGCAAGCACAGGAATATTCAGTACAAGACCGACGTTGCTGAGCAACGAACAAAGCCAACATGAGTTCAGCTGTGGCCGTGTCACAGTTCAAAAGCTAAAAGAAAACCAGACAAAGCACTACCGAGTTAGTCCAAAGTATGATCTTAATTATACATACAGATGTTTCACAGTATCGCCGAACGGCCCAATACAGAGCGCAAGCTTAGTTTCACTTACAACACACTAGCTACACAAGGGTGGAACGTGAAAGCCAAGAATGAATTGCCTGAAACAGCATACCTACCCATGGCATTGGACACTTGATGGACTCCTGCGCCCAGATTGCATTGCATAGCTACCTCGGTACAAAGCTCATCATTCAGGTGAACGAGCGTTACCGCAGAGATGGCTGCGCATACTGTGGAGCTATCGATCCGGTCTCAAATGCCTATGCCTGTGGGCAGAAACTGCTGTTCTAGGATGCCAGAGCCAGACCGCTACTTCAAGCCTCGTTCTGTCGTAGCTCTAGTAAGTCAGGAGGGACATGGAGATGCTCGGAGTTGTCATCTCCTAGGGCATGCAGAAGCAGGGTATAAGAAATGGAAATGCATGCACTCATATCAAGTGCAGTATGAAGAGATTATGGAACAACTGTACTACCTTTCTTATGTTCAGCTTTACCATTGGGAGTACCATTGTCACTCTTCTTTGTGTTTAGGAAGCGTCCCCCATTTCCTCTTGCCCTCCTCATCGCGTGCTGATGACGAGACTCATGAAGATATGGCTGCAATATCAAATGCAAATTCTTAGCAAACTGTCAAGTTATATACTTCACTTATGATTATAACTCAACCACTCAAGGGCGTCTGGAAATAACCAAGATACATATATAGTTTGCTAAGGAACAAGCTGAAAGTCACTCATCCCCAATCTTGAAAAGTACAAGGGAAGTACAGAGGAGGCATGGTCATAATACTACTCCACTAACCTTTCTGGCTTTCACCACCTTTTTCTCAAGTTCAGCCTTGGCACGTGACTGCCGTCGTCTTAAAATACCATGGTACTGCTTGGCATTTACATAAACAGGCTCCTCGGATACTTCAAGAGGTAATGGCATTCGAGATTGAGTTAGTCCAGGTAGCTGAAAATGAGCCTGCACAGACAAAGTAAACGTAAGGCGCTTTATAATTAAAAAAAAAAGAGTACTCAACACAAGCGGAAGGGAAATGCTTTGAGTACAACAGTTTGACTACAAGTAAAGTACAACCATGCACCTAAACCATTCTCATCCATGTGATTTTAACAGTGAATCTTGAGTTGTACTCAATTGATTGTACGTGCAACAGTGCTCTTTGTTTTTCCAAGTTAATTCAGGCAGTTCGGTCGAGCTTTGAACATAGAGGTATTGATACATAATTACATAAATTGTATAAAGTGAAGATGATGAATTCGTCTATTCAGAGTGTTGTACTTGATCCAAAGACATCTGAGCACTACCATCTTCCATAGTTATGACAACCTTACTTTTTTATTCTTTTGACACCTCTAATGGGACAAGCTGTAGTGTCAGTTCATGTGCACATACACACCAACCCTGCACACGCACACCCCCACACACACAACCAACCGTTTCTGCTGACCATAGGTTAGCATTTTCTACCAAAAAAAAGGACCCAAGTATTTTCAATTCAATTTTGCTTCCATTTTCTGGATCATGTGCCGTAGTTTTAATAGGAAGCATGCTACCTGTTCGTTTGGGCTTGTTTGGCTGATAAGCCATGACTGAAAGTACTGTTGGCTGATTTGGTGTGAGAGAAAAATAATGTTCGTTGGCTGAAAAAATACGGCTTATAAGCTAAACAAGCCCAAACGAACAGGGCTAAGACTGACAACTGTTCAATACATCTCCACTCTCTTTAATTCTTTATCTCAGATTTCATATTTTGCTTTAGTAAAGCATACTAGTAGCTAGTGCTGTCATTTAGACCAGTGCTATTAAAATTTGCATAAAGGGGGCCCATGATTTATAATGCTTAAATCAGCATAGAATAGTACCACAGCTTGACTTCCATAGGGAGCAACCATGCCTGCATAGTAAGGATCTGGGTACTGATATGCTGCAGAAGCCTACACGAGGAAAGATATAAACATGAGACAGGAAACACGTTGCCTCACAAGTTCTCAGAAATGGAAACATAAACAGACAAGAAACAGAGTCCATAGAGAAAAGGGTGCACACAATTGATTGGTTCAGTTCCAGCTGTGAGTATGGTGCCAAATACTCTGGCACCAAAGCAGGTATCTGCGATGTTGCATGGTTCTTTTCTTGACCAGCGCTTCCATCTGGAATTAAAATAACATCAGTTCTTGATTTCTTTTGTTGGTAGCAAAAGGTTGCTTGGAGCTAAAAGGCTTTCTTATTATTGTTGTTAGGTAGCAAAAAGATCTACTTTTGTTGCCAACGCAATGATTGATAATTAATCAAACTCTTCAAATCTAACAGTATAGCATGTTTACCCAAGTAGAACGTGTACAGCTGTACTCACACCAATGTTTAAAACATTACATAAGGAAGTAGCATTCTCCTCTCATCTGACATTATAGAACGCAGCATTGTCAATAGAGGCAAACCAAAAAAAGGGCGTACCCAGTGCAGAGAGCTCCCGCTCTATGCGGGGTCTGGGGAAGGGTGTCAGTGGCAAGCCTTACCCTCGCCTGTGCAATGCGAGGAGACCGCGACTCGAACCCGGGACCTTCCGGTCACAGGCGGTAAGACTCTACCGCTTGCACCAGGCCCGCCCTTCAAAACAAGGAGCATTAGCCAAAAGAAAAGAGGGAGGGAGGGAGGGGAGGGGGGCTATACCAAAAGTTGGAACTAGCAAAGCATGGAATTTTTGCAACCATACTATATTTCAACAGCCTGAGCTGTTTATAACATCCTTTCAAGGCAGTCAAATGATTCTTGCAAGGAACCATGTAGTCTGCTAATGGTGAGATATGATAATGCAAAAACGGACAGGAGAGCGATGCAAATCAGTTTACAGAAGATTGCAGCTTGCTGGGAGCACATTCTCATGGAGGTGTACAAAAAGGTACTCGTAAGTAGCTACTGTTGAAATTCTAATATCTTGACTGACCACTATTTTGCACTTTTTGCATCAAAACAAACTAATTTATGTTGTTATCATACACATTTCTTTTCTTTTTTTTGTCAATGCAATCAAGGCTCCACCAAGCTGCTGGAAAAATTGATAAAAGATGAAATACTTGGCCAAGCAGTGGAATTTAGGATTAATTAGACAAGCAGGATGTACCAGAAACCTTTTTTTGTGTGATAAAGCTTTACAAAAAGAAGATGAGCACCAGGCTCACGAGCCAAACTCCAAGGGCGGCAGGGACCCAAGAAACAAAGATAGAAACTCAAATTATAGATATTTCGATGCTTACGCTATCTGCAAATTACTACTGTGATTACTTCTGCAGACATGAGTTCTCTAAGTCATGCAAGCATTTTATTCATAAAGTTCTATAATATTTAACTCTTCATTCAATTTTCATATTTACTTTCATAAGCTTCTCTGTTAATATATACACTGGATAATGCTATTATGATTAGTTGATTAGTGAACACTTCAATGCAGAGGAAAAAAACATTTACACATAAAGATTCGATAAAGAGAAACAGCCATTATCCTAGCACTGTCAATACTATACCAGGCAAATCTACAGGACATTTAACACAATGATAATCATTTGAAACCCATTTATCCTTTTGCACAAACTGCTCTAGTTGATTAAAGTACTTGCTTAATATTAATAAGATGGTATTGCACAAACTGCTCTAGTTGATTAAAGTACTTGCTTAACATTTATAAGATAAGAATTAAGATGGTACTCCTTCAACATGGAACTAGGCAAGTGGAACTATGAATGTGATGATAAATACACAATAGTACAATACAACATCAGCACACCAGATATGATACCCGTCCATGAGATTGATGCAGCTACAAAAGATTCGGAATCAGAGAACTGAGCAAGGTTTCAGACTTCTGGTGGTGCCAGTACTGAGACTGTGAGACACAAAACCATTTCTTCTCTATGAATCTTAAGGACCATAACAAACATAATGAACGAAACACCAGCCTTCAGCAAGGCCTGAATTCAATGTCATTCGTCCATACTTATATACTATATAAGGAAACTGTCGTGCTATATCTACTCCATAGTAGTGGAAGCATCTTTTATGCAAGAGCTTCCATTGGGCAACTGTAAATATAGAAAGATCTTCCAACGAATTCAAATCAAGATGCAGTACTGTATGCTAAAAGAAGCAAGAACGCTGAGGCACCAGTGCACCACTACAACAACTTCCTGCAATAACAGCTCAGCCATCTCTTTATTAACTAACAGGGGAAAAAGAGTTAGCAGCGCCACACCTTTTGGTTCCCCAGATCTCCGTGAATCCTCGCTGCTCTCGTCACTCGGGGCTCCTTTAGCCGCGCCGCCACCACCACTACCACCTGCCGGGCTGCTCGACAGGCTAATCCCGGCCCCGCTCCCGGGCGCCACAACGGCTGGAGACACTGCACCGAGCACGGCCCCGGAGCTCGTCCACCACGGCTGCACCGCCGGGCCACCGGACGGCAGCGCGGCGCCCTGCCCTCTGGGCTCCACCAGGTTCGTCCCGCCCGGCCGCGACTCCATTCTGCTCGCGCTCGCCGCCCTGCTGGCAGCGCCGCTCAGACCGTGGCCGTCGCTGTTTCAGTGGCATCAGGAAGACGAGTGATGGAAAAGTCAAACCGAGTTGAACAGTGGCAGTACGTCACAAACGAGGGATCCACAATGAAAGCATGATATGCTCGGTGCAAAACAGGGTCGCGATCCCGACTCGATCGCAGGCACGTAAAACTCTGCGACGCTCTGACTCCATCGCAGAACACATGCTTGCTCGCAAGTTGCGAATCATGGAGCAGAAGAACACTGGACACGAAACATCAGGGCCAATTCAACAACGGATAGAGCGCAAGGTTTGGCCACGAGACTCGAGTTTCAGCTCTAGCTACCAAATCACTCGAAACCATTTAAAACCGCAATAAGCAACAAAACGCCGATCGGAAGGGAAAACCAAACACCATGTGACAAGCAGGTGCTGAAGAACACAGGAATTCTCCCTCTACTCGACTAGACCAACGAAACCAAGCTGCAGCCCCTGCCGCAGAAATCAATCCTACTCCAGAAAAACAATCACACCCCACCATCAGTCCTAGTCCAAATCAATCCTGCTGCTCCGATGAACAGGACCCATCTCCCCCCGATCCAACCAGAATTCCCCAACCCACTACCACTACAAGCTCCCTCCCAGCAACGGCTCCCTCCGTCGAAATTGGGAGGCCGCCTTATCCGAACCCCGCCCGGCCCGCCGCCCAAAAATGGAAACGAGGTTGGTCACGAGGCGGCGGCCGCATCAAACCCGAGGCAGGGCGAAAAGAGGGCCAACCAACACCAAACCGCTAATCAGGAAGCAAGGGAATAAAAAGGAAGCAAGCGAGGGCGAACGGGAAGTCGGGAAGAGAGGCTCAGACGCCGCTGCTGATACTGACCACTGGGCGCGAAGGAGCGGAGCCGGCGGCCAATAGGCGAGCGCGTCGTCTCCTTCCCTTGTTTCCCCTCTCTCTCTCTCTCTCTCTCTCGCTCGCTCTCTCTCGCGCGCGTTCCGGAGCCCGGAGGTGGGGCGCGGGGAGGAGGATCCCAGGAGGCTGGCCAATCGGAGCACGCTCTGCGCAGAGGTCGTCGCCGTGGACGCGTAACCCTAGCAGCTAAGACGGGATTGGGCAGGGATTATTGTAGTGTCTCGGACAGCCGGACAGGTGGACGACGGGCATGGATGGATTAAATAATAATCATTACAAGCATGGGTTAGTTTAACAAATAAACAGATTTTTGAGGGGCGTGGGATACGGGTGGGCGGACGAGTGGACGGCCCGGATGCGGCGGGTAGAAGATTGTCTTTGGATCGGACGGGCTTTTTTTTGGCACGGCTGCTGTGCGGTGCGTCAAGTGTGAAGTGACAGAGGGACGACGGGCCAGAGCTTGACGCTGGAGAAGTGGAGAGAGAGAGAGAGAGAGAGATTAGGCGCTGTGGTTAACTTTCTTCCAAAGGATAATGCTAAACAAGAGCGAGGTGGCTAATCCCACCCGGCTCCCCGGTAATGCGTGGCACGCGGCGTGTTTAGTGTCCATTTAATTAAGCTTGCGCTCTGCCAGATGGCGAGTTAGCGAGTTAATCACCATCCGATCCGTGCTCCTTTGTGTCACTTTTCCCCCGTCTTTCTACAAATACTGGTCCTTGTCCTTGATGATGTTCTGATTAGCCGGCGCGGTTAGCTTGCCTTTTCGATCGCCACTGCAAATGATGTCTTCCACGGTACGACTCCACTCCTACTTGAGCGTTGAGCCCATACGTTTGTTGGCTGTTGCACATAAAAAGTTTGGTGTTAAGGTACGGGTATATGCTAGCTACCGTCTGGGAGACTATCTGACGTGCATTACCTAGGATGGGACGTGATGGTTTTATTGGCCCTTTTTCTTTTTTGTTTGGTGTGATTAGTAGGACTCCGGTGAATTAGATCACTTTTTTAATTAAGATTTGAAGCACATGAAAAAGCGAGCTCCCGTGATTTTTCTTTCTTTTTTTATGCTCCTTGAGGATATACTTTTCTTTTTTGAAAGACAATCCTCCAAGGATATTGTTTTTAAAAAAAAGGAGATTATGCTTATTCGAGAAGCTTGGGAAAAGCCCCGAAGCTCGGTTACATGGAGTGGAAAGTGCAGCCACATGTAAGAAGCAAGGGAGATTTGCGACAAATAATTAAAATTCACCTCAAGTCTCTACATGTACTAGGTATAATATTATTTTTACTTTCTCTATCCTAAATTATAAGTAATTGTAGCTTTCTAGAGACGTCCACCCACGCCGTCTACCGAGGGAGCTCAAGAGCAAATTGAAGATGGGTTGTTAAGCTCCACTGTATGTCCATCCTTTGTGAAAAGCACATTTGTCATGACTTTACGGTGGTGCTGAGAGGCATCAGAACCTTAGCAGCCATGTTCCCACAAGGGAAAGGGAACAAAAACTTAAGTGTTATTTTATAACGTGGGAACATAAATGTTTCCGTAACGTAGCCATGCTCCACGCCACTAAGATTAGACTAGCTCTAGAGCTGGTGAAGAAACTCCATTACACGGATCCTCAGACGAGAAATCTTGAGCATGTTCGTTTGAACTTATCAGCCGATTTATCAGCTAGAATATACAGTATTTTTCTCCCACAATAAATTAACTTCAGCCGGCTGACCGACTTATCAGAACAAGAATAACTGAATAAGTTGTAGCATTCATCTCACACGACGAACGGTAGCAATTATTTCTACTATTCCGAGATCAGACCGAGGATTGGGCTATGTTTAGTTCACCAAAAATCATGCAAAAATAAGATTTCCCGTCATATCAAATTTGCGGTACATGCATGGAGTACTAAATGTTGACGAAATCAAAAACTAATTGCACAGTTTGGATGTACTTTACGAGACGAACGTTTTGAGCCTAATTAGTCAATGTTTGGACAATTATTAACAAATAAAACCAAAAGACAATTATTAATAAATAAAACCAAAAGCTACTGTACCTACAGTACCTACAAGAAATCCGGCGGCGCCGCGTTGGGGACCAACTAAACGTGGGCCGCGTTTATTTGGCCAAGTTCGCTAATTAGGCTGCCGGATTCGGCTGTGCATTAATTGGTTTTCCGGACAACCGTAGCTACTGACAATCGTAAAAAGATGGCGTTTTGTTTTTATTTGGTAATAATGTGTTCGATCGTTGACTAATTGGGCAATGCAAAACGTTCGTCTAGAAAAGATGCTAAAGCCACCGACAACCAAACTGTGCAATTAGTTTTTGATTTAATCAATATTTAATCCATACATCACTGCAACGCGAGGCCCCGTCTGATTCAATGACGAGAATGATTTTTTTGCGTATAACCAAGCAAAAATTCTGGAATTTAGGGCGACTAAACATGGCCGTGGCCTTATTTTGTACATCCATGAAATCCGGCGGCGCTGAATCGGGGACCAACTAAACGTGGCCTCGTTTTGTTTCGGTCAGTAGCAGCGCGCGGCAGAGCTGTAACACCTCGGGACCCTACAATGCATCCCTCTGACAGGTCTTCCCCGGATCTGCCGGGTGCTATTGGTCTTGTTCGACTGAAGCTAGAAAAGATGCTAACGCCACGAGGCCGCGGGTCCCGCGCCTCCGTTGCGGCAGGCCAGCAGTGCGGTGCGGGGGGCAGTCTCGTCATTGCTCCGTCGTTGCGTGTCCGCGGGCCCCGCGGTGCGCGCGTGCCGAGGACAGCGCCAGCGACAGCGACGGCCCAGCGGTCTGCCGGAGTGCGTACGGCGACGGACGTCCCCACCCACGCGTCCCTCGCGGTGCGGGAACGGGAGGACCACGCGGGGCGACGGGCCGGTCCAGCCGCGGCTGGTGGGGCGGGCGCGACGGCGACGGACGGGGCTGCGCGGGGCGGGCACGTGACGGCGCCGCGAACTCGGCCGGTCGCCCCTCTGACCCTCTGCCGCGCGCGGGTGCGGGTTAGGTGCCGCTGTCTCGTGGCGAGGCGGCAGCTCGGGTTTTGGGGAGCACAGCTCCTCCCGCGCCGGCGGCCGGCCATCCTCCAGTAGGAGTATCCAAGTGGTCGCCCGTGGGGGCTCTCCACAGGCATCGAGGAGTGCCCTGCACGCACGAATCATGCCCGAACACGCAGCGGTTTTGCAGAAACGACGAGTACCGCGCCTGTCGCTGTGCGCGCTGCCGTGCTCGGCTACTCATGATTTTGTTGCAGCCATTGACGCAAGCGTTTGGAACATGTTGCCTTGCCTTGCCTGTTGCCTCGCCTTTCGTTTCGGAGACTAAAGATCTGCTCAAGATGCTTCTACTATACTCCTATACTGAACTACTACTACTACAGTGCTCTACATGAGTTTGGAAATTTGGTTTCGGTGATTCGGTCTCCTGTTTGAGCCTTCAGAGTAGTTCATTACAAGATCATAGCGGCCTTTTTTTTTCTGAGTTGGTATCCACTCACGAAGCTGGAGGATTATCCAGTGAGATGCCACCCCTTTGACTTAATGATAGGGACCTTTTATGAAATGTCGAAGAGGCAAAGAGCAGCCACTCCTACCTTTTGTCGGATAGTGGATACATACGGCGTGCGTATGAATAATGTACTCCTGTGCTTCTAGAGAGATCGGGGTTTCAGATTGAAATGGACGGTTTGTATGTACGGGTGCAAGTACGCACGGTAGCTTTTCTCTAGACTAGTGAAAACGTACATCAAGATGTGCATGGTCTCCTCATCTCCTGTGCACAGAGCCGTTGAGAGAGGAATCAGGAATGGCCTTGACAAGTGTCATGCCTATCCAGTGGTATACTCCTAGACTGCTAGTGGCAATTGGCTTAAATAAAGGGGCGACGCCATGTACCGAGCTAGTACTCCCGTACTCAGTTGACCGGCAAATGAAGTATAGTTGAGCGGCCATCGAAACGCCGGCAGAGTTCATCGAAAAAGCGAACTCTGCTTTTTCGCGTCTCCTTCTTTTCCTCCTGTTGTAGCTATTCATTCGTAGATTTGGACGGCCCAAATCGAC